CCTTCCAGCCCAAACCACTCTATGAAGGCATCCCCAAGTCAGGAGCAGCAGTATCTGTGCTCAGGAATAGCCTCTATTCTGTGCCTAAAAGAAAGTGAAGTTAGTGGATTAAACATGGAATGTGCCCTCAGCAAATGCACTTTTAGCCTTTTCTGAACAAGGTTGTTCTGCATTTGCTGAACCCCCTGAAAGCCGTTGGTCGCAATGTAAGGCTGGTGAATGAGGCAGATAGACCAGGGCAGGCAAGGGCCTGCTTTTAGCCAATCCAGAAATCCAAGAAAAGCGTCAGCAGTGGCAAACTAAAGTTGCTATTATCACACGTAGGCCGACTGAGACACAGACGTGGCCCATGAGTGGCTGTCTCCCTGGCAGGGCTGGGACTGCCAGGAAAAAAGAAGAAAGCACAAATACAGTTTCTGCCCAGAGTTGCTAGGAACGGAAAAAAGGACTTCCAAAATTCTATCGGTATCATGGAAACACACTGATTTGGCCTTACCTTGAAGCTGGCTCGTTGCAGCAAGAACTGGAACCGTAATTCAGCCCAGTGGCTACACAGCTGCCACACGAGGCATCTCCTCTCCCCTTTTTTGCAGGCGCAGAGGGCAAAGGATCACTGTCAGCCTGCGGCAAGCACGGCACTGCTCTTGCAGGGGGTTTTTCCTCACAGAGGTTAGGGAGAGGTTGAGGTGCCGGTAGGCGGGAGAACCATTTTTTCATTTGTGCTCCATCCTCCTGCATTCAGAGTATGGGTACTTTCTAGCTTTCTTCCTTCTTCAGCTGCTGCCCAGACTGAAGTTCTTGTCTGCCTTCCTTCCCCAGAGCAGCTCGCATCCACAGTCCAACCCCGCCACCGATTAAACAGCCAGTATCCAAGGCAGCAGTACCCCCACACCCAGCAGCATTTCTTGCAAGACCTACGCAATGCAGTTTTCACAACGTGAAGCACAGCACCGGAGTTGCAGTTTCTTCCCTCAGCTTTCCTCTAGATTTCCTGGTTTAGACTGACCCCAGGTTGTCAGCATCTCGCTGCCATTCTCCATAGAGCTGCTGTCTTGGAGCTTACAGGGGAGGGGAAGTGCAGCACTGTGTCTCATAGCTGCTTCGTTTGGATTCTTTAGAAGTTACTCATCTAGATACTCAAAAAATTACATCCTTGCAGTAAGTCCATACTGCCCTACTTCTACACAATAAAACAGTAGTTCTGCTACTACTTTACCTTATTCTTTCCCCTTTTTTCAGGGCTCCAGCAACTGCTCAGAGCAGCTGTTTAATTACATGGAATCCAACCAAACCACCACAGCACTTAAGGATATCTCAGCAAGGAAGTTAATTCACAGAAACAGTCTCCATGAATCCAGCTGTATTCTATCCTTCATACTTAGCTAAGCATCTACATGGAAATGGAAAACTGCATCCGTGCAGTTCCCGGGTTTAGAAACACAGATGAAAGGAATGCACTGAGCACACGTGTTAAGTGGCTCGTTCACTAGGTCTGTTTAGTTGTGCCAGAAGTTTATTTGTGGAGACAAACCGCGCCCTAACAAGCAAAAAGTGAGTGAAAACCCATTTTATTTGCAAATAAAGCAAAACTCAATGATTTGGGAACTCTACAGGCAAATGAAAGTGAAAGAGATCTTAAAAAAGTGGTAAAATCCTTCCCTTTTAATGCATTACTGATGCACGTTTTCATTTAGTTCTAAGACAGTAATTTTAATAAGATTTCCTACTTTATATTATTTCCCCATCCCCTCGGTAAGCTGCAAACTTTGAGCAGTACATGTGGTTGACAGGTTTGTATCGAAGATGCAAATGACTGGGAGGATATTCGTGTTATTGTAAAGCTTATCATCTGAAAGCAAAAATTACTGCTCCTCTGCCCTCAGCAAGAGTTTCCTGCCCAACAGTGAGGCTGCCTGAATAAGACATCTTTGTACAGAGGGCCTTCAGTTTGATTAACTTACCAACTCTGTATTAAAATTCAGTAGAAACTCTCGTAGAGTTCCTATCTTTTCTTTCTGGGACAATGAAAAGTGTGTAGCTTAATAAAAAAGGGTGTAACCACCGTTAGTAGGGTTGTACACCACTGACAAGTGCAGTCAAAACAAAAGACTCAGGGAAGTAGTATCCAGGCTCACCTACAGCAACGTGAAAACAAGGAGAGGAACTCCACTTGTCAGCCAGTTGCCCAACACAATGTCGGCAACGCCAACACGTACACGAAGTGTCTTAGGACAGCAGTTCTACCACTGGCCTCGAGAGCGCATAACTGGTCTCTTCCAGTCATGTCACATTTCTGGAAGAACGAAAATCAGTGTGTCCAAACAGGACAGAAAATATCACCGCTTCTTCAGATGTTTCTCCTGTCCTGCAGCATTTGCTAGGCAAATGTTCACACTGCGGAAGTACGTGACCATTCACCTGAAAGCCTGGCTCGTTGTGGCACAGCCTTTATACACTTACGGTCACTAGTTGCAGGCAAACCACTTTTCTGATCCAACAGTAGCTGCTGAAACTTCTCCACTTGAGAACTTTCGGCATGGATTTAAAATAAGCCTTTCATTTTTTTGTTTCGCCACTTTAAACTTGAAACTAGCATGAGCATTAACAAGCAGCATCTTGAAAACTAAGTCTAAGTCATTCTTAGGTACGCTGACTCGTTTAGAATTGTGATAGAGGATTAAGAACAGCTGTATTCTGCACTGAAAAGAATCTCTTATTACTAAAATCCTGAGTTTGCTTAAAAACTACCATACTGTTAGTCGTCTTCTTAACTGAGTGGTTTGCAAAGAGAAATCCTCTCTATTTCTACAAAAATGCCTTCACGATTATTTGCCCGCAGAAGTCGTAACATTCCATGTCCCATCCCATGATTCTGCTGTGGTAGTCAAATGTCTATGCTTCATCAAACAGAGAAAGAGAAGGCAGGCCAGTTAGTCTCAACAATCGGGACACCTGTTTTGCCAGCTCCCCTCAATACAGAAATTCTTTGGGTCAACATTCCAAGGGATTGCGTTAAAAAGAAAGAAGTCACCAAGTGTGAGAACACCTGCCGTACGGAAAGTAAGATGAGGGATACAAACAGCTCTGACCCCCTTACGACACAATACATTTTTTTTCTTCCTCCTTATACTCTATTATATACTCTGGGTAAACCTGGTATTTTTCAAAGACAACAAAAATGGAGGGATTTAACTCATCATCCACACAGCTGTCATAAAACCGAAGCCCGTCAACAGACTTTGCTGGGGGGCGAACATAGGCTGCATTGCCTTTGACATAATTTCCAACCAAGACACGGGCCACGAACATGCTTATTTTCATCGCCGGCTGACAGTATGCGTGGGAATAGGAAGCGTCTCTAGCGAAGTAACTTCCTAGAAAACGACAGGAAAACATGGTTATAAGGCATATGTATGACGTGACAGCGAAAACTGAGCCAACCCCTGGTCTTCCAGGAGGTATCTGGCCCAACTTTCAGGTCTCCTCTTACTCAGTTTACATAATACCATAAAATTTTTTACAAGAGAAAGGATTTCACCGCAGCATTTCAATTCAGAATTTGCTATTTTGGAGTAATTTTTAAAAATAGGCAACGTAAAACCACTACAGGTATGTGCGTTAGGATGAGAGGGACGGACAAGGAAACGTAAGGACCCTCCATGAGCATCCTAAGGGAACGTGTACCCTTCTTGCTCCCTGCCACAAAGGCTATGGCCATTTCTCTGGCGAGTTCAAATTACAGCCCGGAGCCTTCCGAAGACCCCACCTGCAGCAACACAGGTGTTTTCAAATCCCTACATCAGTTCTTTTAGCGCCTTGTGAAAAGACCTACCCACAGAAAGCAAATACGGGTCCTCGCCAGCGGGAAGGAACACCGCAAGACCGATTCCTACCTCTTTTTTCCACCCTCTATAGTTACAGACTTCAAAACTCTTGACTGCTCTAGGATCAGGGGAGTCTGAGTAGACATCTAACGCAGAGAATCGCTTCCTACGTACCCTTTCCGTAGTTAGTTCCATTGCTTCCACAAATTCTCCAGTCAAAGTTGTGCACACATATAGCTTCCATGAAGGAGATCTTGGTTCCATGGAACAGGAGCCTTTCGTTTACTTCCCTCCCTCCATTTTCCCTTTTCATCTGCTCCTTTTGCCTAACAGACAAACACAGGGGAGGAGAGTCAGAGTCGTGGAAGAAACGGGAGAAAGAGGATTAAAATTAAGTATATAATGTACATGTAAATACCAGCTGGATGAGATTTCCAGTCTGCTTTCTCCTCTCTAATAGCGAGACAGTATGATGAACAATTCCACGACGAGCAACGTACTGATAGCACTGCCCAGCCATTCTAGGTAATCGTGGCTTTCTTCAGTGAATTTAAGTTAGCACTGACACTATTACAGTCCCTGGTCTACCAACCTTTGGCTCCCCTGTAGGGTCCTACCAGCTCTGCTTTCATGTCTCCTGCCCCTTCCCACCCCCAAACCGCGGAGCGGAGGTTCTGCTGACCGCAGAGCCTACTTGCTCCAGCAGTCGCTAAAAGCTAGAGGCAGCTTGTTCTTCATTCCCCTAGTGAACTCAAACTGCCAGACACCCTGGACTCCTGCCCCTCGAGGGCCAGGAGGGAATCTGAGCCTTCTCTCACCACTGAAAAACTCACTGATTCAGGCCACAGTCAGACTGAGCTATGACCAGTATCACAAGAGGAGTCACAACAGAAGGCGCAAGTAGTATCTCCAATCACCATTTCACAGCATCCAGACATCCCACAGGTTTTCTGAAGCTGTTAAGGCAGACGAGACAGTAACATTCTTTCAGGGAGACCTCATAGCACCTTCCAGTGCCTGAAGGGGCTACAAGGAAGCTGGGGGGGACTTTTTACAAGGGTCTGTAGTGACAGGACAAGGGGTAACCAGTTTAAATTGAAAGTGGGGAGGTTTAGATTGGATATCAGGAAGAAGTTCTTCCCAGAGAGGGTGGGGAGGCACTGGGACAGGTTGCCCGGAGAAGCTGTGGATGCCCCATCCCTGGGAGTGTTCAAGGCCAGGCTGGATGAGGCTTGGAGCAACCTGGGCTAGTGGAAGGTGTCCCTGCCCATGGCAGGGGGGTTGGAACTGGATGGTCTTTAAGGTCCCTTCCAACCCAAACCATTCTATGATTCTATGGTTCTAAGAAGTGATCAACTACAGAGTAAACAGAGGCAGGGAGAGGGGAGAATCCTTCCAAACTGCATAAATGAAAAGTTAAGAGCAACGGACTGAAATTTGTTCACTGAGAACTTGGCAGTGTTAAACTCTGCCAGCTCAATTATCTCACTGGCGGAAGACAAAAAGTATGCACTATTACATGTTTTGAAGTGTCTTAAGTTCTGCTAGATGACAAGGTTTTACGACATTAGCAGCTGATAACTTCCTGGGCTCATCGCTCTGCAGGTGAAAGTACTTATTTCAGCAGTATTTTCCTTCTTCATTACCACAGCTCCTTACAGTCCGTGAATACTTCCATGAAGGATCTGTGCTCTGGTTCTGAACTAGACAGCTGCTCCCTGTGACAGCTCAACCTGCTGCCCAGTTACCCTGAGCGCGGTTGTTTATTGCTGCTAGCGCCAGCTCAGGATCTGTTGGCATCGAGCTTGGCACAAGTACCCACAGTTCCATACCGCTGGCGCACATGCTGAAAAACCGTAAGGAGCTCGGGAACTCGGAGATCACTGAGTTAGAGCCTAAGGACTTTCTCAATGAATACTGACTTCATCCAGAGAAAGTGCTCAAACTCTTGAAGAAGCCTTAAATAAATCTGACGGGGAAAAAACCCCAAAGGCCCAAGCACCCCTGCCCTTGCCCACTTCTTTTTTAGGAAGTATTTCATCTACTCCAATAGATAAACATTTGTAACAGACAGAACACATGCAGAAGGCAGTTACTCTTCAGTCCCCGAGACAATACGCTGTTCCACATGACTGTGGGTACCCTCATCCCAATTTTGCATCATTTGTGTCTTTCTGTCTGCACTCCTCCCCACATCTTCCAAGGAGTGATGCAAAGTCCACCCCCTCAGGAGCACGGCATTCTTTGGAAGGCCTTAAACACTTCATTTCACACCTGAAACTGCCCCAAGAAGGAAATACCAGTCACACTAAAGCAGAGGTGGTAATGTCTTTCCTAGTGAGAATCACGGAATGCTTTGGGTTGGAAGGGACCTTAAAGACCATCCAGTTCCAACCCCCTGCCATGGGCAGGGACACCTTCCACTAGACCAGGTTGCTCCAAGCCTCATCCAGCCTGGCCTTGGACACTTCCAGGGATGGGGCATCCACAGCTTCTCCGGGCAACCTGTCCCAGTGCCTCCCCACCCTCTCCGGGAAGAACTTCTTCCTGATATCCAATCTAAACCTCCCCACTCTCAATTTAAACCTGTTACCCCTTGTCCTGTCACTACAGGCCCTTGTAAAAAGTCCCCCCCAGCTTCCTTGTAGGCCCCTGTATCTTGTAGAAGATACAGGACACCAGCTCTTGGAGATTCCCTGCCATGAAGCATGAGGAAAAAAATACTAACCACTGAAACACTTTCCAGAGGGATGGATTCTGAATCCTCCGTATTTTAAGGACACTGTAGCTTCTCATAGTCTGAAGAAACAGGTGCTTTATTCTGTTGTATTCAGAGGTTGTATTACTAATCTCCACTGCCTATAAAATACAAACCAAAGCGAAAGAACACGAGGCTTCAGTTAGCTTGTGATATGCAGAAGCCTAATTACAGCAGTTACACTTTCAGAAGGATCCCCAAACTATGATTACGAAGGCTAAATTAACGCTTGAGATTGCGACTATGTGAATAATTAGGACAGACACATAATATGTAAATCGGTATGCCACTCGCTGCTTCGCAGGGACTCCACCTCTCTTCAGCAAGGACGCTGAAAGCAAAAGAATCAATTAAATGTTTATCATCTCCAAGTAAGAGTTGACTTGTATTTAAAGAGTAACTTGTATTTAAAGAGTAATTTCAAAAAGATAGCCTGACTGATTATTCCAGATAATATTAGTTTTATATATAAAGCTGATTAGTACAAAAGGTATTAGACAATGGTACCATTTGTAACCAAACATTTAAGGGAGCTTCAGCTATTAAAGATGAAAACCAGAACACATACAACCTCCCAGCATCACAGCTCCTTAGCTTTTCAAAGTCAAGACTTGGAAAGTTGCACTTAAATATACTTGAGGAAAAAAGTTACATTTTGAACATAAGAGAGCAACTAAGATTCTAATAGGGATGTTACACTAAATACCTGCTTAAGCAAATACTTCTCCTCCTTTCCTAAGGGAAACAAAGTCTATTTACCCACACATTTTAGGATTAAAATTCCACCAAGAAATGCACATTTTTCCCAAAGAAAAGGTAAGGCAAAACATAATTAAAACATGATGTGAGCTCTTCTGCTCATGTCATGCATAAGTTTTCCAATTTTTTTCTCCAAAGTAATCTGCCTTTAATCTGCTAGACTGAAAATGCATCATGCTGGCAGCCTGACGTCCCTCGGCAATACTCTCCACTTCACCGCTGCCTAAGTCAAGTGGGAACTCAAGATGCCTCCACATGAAATGCCCAACATCCCACCTATGAAAACCGTGCTTTAAGCAGGAAAGCTGCGGTCATCCTAGGAGGTAATAGAAAATCAACATCTTAACCTGTCAGACCAATGCTCCACATTTTAGAAGGATGAGTTTAGAGAAGAGATAAAATAGGACTTGTATTTCACAGCCACATATAAATAAAGAACTGCTTTCCTGAACACCATGTCCAGCTTGTGCATTCAATGTTTACTGAAGAAGAGGCCTATCACAGGAAAGCCTTCTAAGGACTGAGAATAAAGTCAAATGCACAAGAGAGAATTATTTATTTGCTTTTTTTTAAAAGCTTTTATAAGGTTGAATGCCTTAAGGCAGAGTATTTTGCAGCACCTCTTTACAACACAACACGCAAAACAATTTGGATGGGGGAGTATTTATTATCTGCATGTTCTGTGACACCACAGCTCAAGTTGCTCACTGTCACCTACAGGATGAAAATTATGTCACTATGTTTCCGTACTGTATCTTTTATTTATGCAAAAACAATTCTTATTTAGACTACAAATACGCTTGCTCCATGTTGCATCTTCTAGTGAGGAACCGTAACCTTTCTGGGTAAAACAGAGGGTCAGCTGCGTGGTACAAGGCCAAATACTATCAGAAAGGTACTTCAATTCTTTTATCACACGATGGCCTCAAAGCAATAAAGCCAGTTCTCTTTTGTGTAAAAGCTTTGTGGGATTGTCCTCATTTCCCTTGCTAATAAAGGTCAACACCACATTGCTACTGCAGGTTGATGATTCACAGCAACGTAACTTCTTTAGCTCTTTTCACCTTCAGACCTACAAAGGAAAATGGTAGAGAGGATAAATATTTGCTAGCCCACTCTCAAGGAACGGAGTTTCTGAGGCAGAGAAAAGAATCACTGCTCCGACAGCGATTTCTACTGGCGTATGACTGCACAAGAACAGCACCCTCTGCTATCCAACCTCGGTCTCTAGGTAGGTTTTGGAAGCAGCAGAGTTTGTATTAGAGGCAGTGACCTAACCAGAACTAATGTCAGCAGGGTACACAGACTCTTCACATGGCACCAGCTCCCACTCCCGTAACAGCACAGCGACCTTCGGCACGCCTCTCAGGATTCAGTAACGCAGCAGCCCCACAGAGACTAATCCCGACACAAAACCACACGTCCCCTGCACACATTCCTCAGTTGTACACTGAAGATGTGATTTAAAACTCAGCATGACGTTTCAAGAAAATATAAATTCCAGTTTTGCCTTTAAGGGTTCACCCACTACCGATACCACTTGGCCTGTTCAACAAAGAAGAAATTCACACCAACATCCCAATTAATGCTGCCAGTTTCCACTGTGCATTTCATACACTCTACTTTCTCGGCTCAAAATGACTTATAGATTAAGACACTGTGACACTCAAAAAATAAGCAGTGTTACCAAAGCAGAGCTGCTCTTTTTACGCAGACGACTTTCTTATCTCGTGTTTATTTTTAAAATGGATCATTTCCAGCACAGCAAATTTTGCCAGGATTATTTGTTAATGTCTGAAGAGAAGGGAATTGGTAAGTCGAATTGTCAGATGTCACAATGGTCACCACATACTGCAAAAAAACCAAGCTTAGGGCCCCACAGAAATATTTAATCTAGCCCAGGCTTCCAATTTTAGTGCCTACAGGTATCGTGGGCTTTGTCACTCCTTAGGCACAGAATTAATTTCTCCTTTCCTATGAAAGGCACTCAGTTTACAAGTTAAGTGACTGCTTTCTTAGGTGCCAGCTCAGCAAGAAAACTGAACTCTGGGAAACAAGATGATCCATCTGTTTCATGCATCCCCACCAGTACCACCAGTGATGCCATGGATCTGCACATCACATTCCACAGCTGCTCACACTCACCTCAGCCACTCCAGAAATGCCCCAACACATGGACTCGACTACAACTCAGTGAGACTCAGAGTATGTAAGGGAGGCAGTTAAGTACATACAACTCGGAGATCTAAAAGGAACTGAGCTACGTGTCCTCCTGGCATTCTTTTGAAAAATCCAAGCTTATGTTAATCAGTTAAGCCGCTGATAAGGCAAGGGAAGAGCTGATTAGTTATATCCTTCATTATTTTGACGGAGCTCAAAGTATCACAGGCCCTGTTTGAAGGGACCTAATGTACCGAGCACTGGACTTAAATTTTACCCCCCCCCATTTTTCACCAGAACTGTATTCAGATGAATTTGCTATATACACACGTGGCCAGATACAGGTATTACATAGAGGAACACATAATCCAACACCAGAGGGTAGTCAGGGTAAAAAGAAACATTCAGCACAAAGCAGAATAACAGCAACCAGCCCACTGAAGCTGAGAGACAGAACATTTCTGGTTCCCGTGCCACTGCCAACGTAACTACAGTAGGGAAGAGTGAGAACAGCAAGGGAGCCCTCTGTCAACCAAAAGTAGCCAGAAAGAATTCTGGAAATACAGTATTTCTCCTGCCCTGCCCCTAGCCTTCAATGTATCTGTGCCAATACAACATGATCAGCATTATAGCAAGATTGTAGGACACAGTCAACACGGAAAACTTCTTACGTTACGTGCTGTTCCTTAATCAGGGTCAAAACCACTACAAAAAAGGACAAGCGTAACACTGAAAAGCCTTTTTTTCTAGCATAGTGTAGTACTGCCAGAGTCTGTGTTGCTCTTCCAGAAGGATTGCTTCTTAATACCCTGAGAACTAGCAATTTAAAAAATACCTGCACCTTTTTGGTCTTGGTAGACCAAATAGGTACACAGACTTTGGGCTGGCAGTGGTTTGTTCTGTTGAAAATATCACTGCAAATGTTTTTTAGATATTATTGGCTGTAACTATTCCTGCCATTCCAAGAGGCTGTGGTCTGTGCTGGGATCTCTGATGTATGTGACAGTTCTGGGTGACTTTGTAGCAGGCCAACAACTTGAAAGAGCATATAGAGATTTCCTTTCCCAGGTCTTCAGTCCAGACTTTATCCACCAACAACTGATATGGTATTACCATCGGATGGCTTTTTAGTGGTCTGCACAGAAAGGGTTTGGCCTCAGCCCCACGTGCAGTGAATCATAGAATCATAGAATGGTTTGGGTTGGAAGGGACCTTAAAGATCATCCAGTTCCAACCCCCTGCCATGGGCAGGGACACCTTCCACTAGACCAGGTTGCTCAAAGCCACATCCAGCCTGGCCTTGGACACTTCCAGGGATGGGGCATACACAGCTTCTCTGGGCAACCTGTCCCAGTGCCTCCCCCCCCTCTCTGTGAAGAATTTCTTCCTGATATCTAATCTAAACCTCCCTGTTTTCAATTTATACCCATTCCCCCTTGTCCTGTCACTACAGGCCCTTGTAAAAAGCCCCCCCCAGCTTCCTTGTAGCCCCTTCAGGCACTGGAAGGTGCTATAAGGTCTCCCCCTACACACTTCATGGAAGACCCTTGTTTCACTGGTCCACCAAGTCACCAAGATAAGCTATCAGTACATTTTTAACAGTGAACCTGTTTGTCCTGAATTTGGCAAGTTTTGTTTCTGCACGTAGACAGGTGCCTAAAATGCAGATGAACTTCATGGGAATTTGGCACCTTTTTCAAGGATCTCTTGGGAGACCAGCCAGATCTTCAGCACACCCTGTCCCTTTTTAGCATCTACCCGGGTACAATTGCTGCAGTTCAGCAGCATCCATCCTCCTTTGGACAGTGCCTCCCCATCAGAATCACAGGGGAGGGTGGGGAGAGGAAGAAAGGAAAAGAGATACCTTGTATCCCAGGTCAGGTAGTGCAGACTGATCCCAGTGGACAGGACAGACTTGATTTGGAATGGAAGAATCCCTCTGGGTGCTTGCAAACAGACAGAAATCAGCGTGTTAGTAATTGTAGTCCTGATCTGAGCGTTCAGACTGGCAGCATCCCCTTCGGCCAATGCCTCTATTTAAAAATAAACAAAAGAAACCACAAAGAAACCAGGAAACGGCCTCAAGCCTGAGAGCTGGGCTTTGCATGCTGTCATTCCCCAATCACGGTCTTCTGTGGCTTGCTTCTTTCAGAAACAACCATCCATCCCCAGGCCTGTGGGTGCGGCACCTGGAGTAACGTGCGCCCCAGAAACCAAGCCGGCAGTCTGTGATACACCTTCTGTTCGGAGAAATGGTTGTGTTTCCTGCTGGCAACAGCTGATTCTTTGCAGTTACTGCCAGCACTGGCAGCCGTTTGGCCTTTAATCACCTCTGAAATACGACACTCCCCCCAACTAGAGCATCGGTTACCCTTTCTTTATCTTCTGCACTTCTTCAGAAGACACAAACTTTGGTCGCCTGCAGACCCATCTTCGCATTTTCGTTGAGATGTTTGTCTGGCTCATTTCTTAAGGAGAAAAGAGAAGGCGAAAGTCATGAGTAAGTCTACAAGATGAGGTCATTAACAAATGACAGCCATTCGCTACTGAAAAGTGCACATTCACTGTCACTTCTCTCTGCTAAGCACAAAGCTTAAGGACGCTTCTTCTCCTTCCCGCAGCTGTTACGCAAGCTGCGCCTAGCCTGCTTCCTTCCGTAACTCATCCGTGCTCTCCAACTGCTGCTCCTGCAGCACAGGAAGAGGTTTGTTTTTTCGATTTTACCATCCCCAGGGTTAGCTCACTTTATACTCAGAGTTTACTATGACTTTAAGTGCAGACTATGAATCTTTTTATTTCTTGTATAGTGTGAGTCTCAACAGTGTCCCGGAATAAGGGGGAAGGTAACTTTTGTAAGGAATTTCCTCTGGGCCATCACTACCTCACCTCCCCTTCCAATGAGTAAATCTGGGAATGTTAGTAAAAGAAGACATAGCTTCTAAAAGCTGGGAGAAGCCTGCAAGTTTGTCCTTGTAAAGCACTGCACAGTTGTAAATGAGAACCTTTAAAACGAGTACCTTTAAAACTCAGCTCGTAATGATACAAGCCAGCCTGGAAAGATATGGTGGCATCTGGATCTGCTAGATACAAATTCTCAATAATATCAGAAGATGGCGAGTTCACGTTAGCCCCTTCTCCCTTGGGGGTGGGGAACAAAAAAGAGAGAGAGGAGTGATGAGTAAAAACAGTCCGGACTAAACTCTGGATAACTAGTCTGGCCAGAGGAAACGAAGCAGCAAAGTGTAGGATGAAGAGGAATCTACCCTGAACTACTGCGGCCTAAAGTGCCATTACTGAACATTCGTAGCACACGCACAAGTATGTCATACACGCGTAACACACACAGACACACACAAATGACACATCTATCCCATTTCAATTTCTGTAACAAGCTGTGCTGGTTTGGGCTAGGACAGAGTCGATTTCCTTCGTAGCAGCTAGTATGGAGCTAGATGGTGGATCTGTGCTGGAAACAGCGCTGACAACGCAGGGATGATCTCGTTACTGCTGAGCAGGGCTCACGCAGAGTCAAGGCCTTTTCTGCTCCCCACCCCACCAGCGAGTAGGCGGGGGGCGCACAAGAAGTCAGGAGGGGACACAGCTGGGACAGCTGACCCCAGCTGACCAAAGGGATATCCCACACCATATGATGTCATGCTCAGCATGGGAAGCTGGGGAAGAAGGAAGTAGGGGACGTTCAGAGTGACAGCATTTGTCTTCCCAAGTAACCATCACATATGATGGAGCCCTGTTTTCCTGGGGATGGCTGAACACCTGCCTGCCCATGGGAAGTGGGGAATGAATTCCTTGGGTTTCTTTGCTTGAATGCACAGCTTCTGCTTTGCCTATTAAAGGGTCTTTATCTCAACCCACAAGTTTTCTCACTTTTACCCTTCGGATTCTCTCCCCCATCCCACTGGGCGAACTGAGCAAGCAGCTGTGTGGGGTTTAGTTGGTGGTCGGGTGTGACAGATGCACTAGACTCCTTCACCAAACTAGTGTTAGTTTGGTTCAGGTTCCAAAGGAAGTAAAGGCCTAGGCCATGACCAGGCCATGACCTTCTCTGGTTCCAACCTGTCCCCTGAAAGCCCACACAGGAACAGGGCACATGGTGAGCACTGATGTGTATGAGCTTGGGAACTGGAGATCCCGCGATTAGCACATGAATAGCAGGAACCTCTTCCAAGACTAATTTGTCAAGGAACAAAGAAAACTGTTGGTGCAAGGAGTCTCATGCTTACCTTTTCCACCGCATGTAATCTGACTATGAGCCAACCACTTCATTCCAGAAATGACAGCCTGAGTGAGCTTTTGTTGAGCTCTCCCTGCTAAGGAGCAGGCTGCCCAGCGGAGATGCCCCCTTGTGCTGGGACACCTCTCCAAGTTACTCCTTGAGGCTGAGAACCCTTACCAACCACAGATCTTTGGTGACCAGTATCGAGCATAATCTTCAATGAGAGCGTAACTAAGGTTTCCTACTGGTAACCCTGAATTATTATTATACCCTCTGTGCAGTAAGTGACAGAGTGAACCTTGCCATCGGACTTGTTAAGTCTCACTTTGACAACATCCTAACTTCAACAAAGCTACTTTTGCTGCTACCTTTGGCAGTCGTTCTTCCATCGGTCTAAAACCTCGCCCACATCAATGTGGCGTAGTTGGCAGATTCTAGATCTGCTCCACGACACCGGAGTTAAACCACAATGCAAGTGTAAGTCTCTAAGGTACAAAACAACATAAAATAGGACAGTTTGCTGATGGAAATGCTTTCAGTTTTAGCTGCCTACTGAAATCAAGGCCCATCATTATGAGAGTCACTATATCCATCATCTTTCCCTGCCCACTTTTCCCAGGATCACCTCTGTGTTCTGCCATTTGTGCAGCTGTACCGTAAACCAGATGGGGAAAACTCATCTGCCCTGGGGGAAGGAGAGGTTTCTTATTTATTTCTTTTCCTGCATTTTTCAGGCAGATCACTCTCTCAAAGAGGATTTGGCCAAGGAAAAAGGTAACGTTTGATCTGAGACAGCAGAGCAGTCTTTGCACGTCCAAGGAACCAGGACAATGCTCAGAAGAGAGGCAAGACTGCTTCCTGAATAATATATAAGGCAATGTATCTCAAGGATAGTGTATACTTGTTAAATCTGCATAGAAGTCATGAACAGCTCCAAAAGGGAATCTGACTAGCAAGCCAGCTAGCTTGAATCGGAAGCCAGCATGCATCATCAAAACCAGCCTGATCAACACAAACTGAAAAAAACCAAATCTTCCTGTCCTGCATTTGCCAACAATGTCTTTGTCAGGGAAAGTAGTTGTAACAAATCATCCAGACACAAAGACAATCGTTGTAATGAACCTCACGGCAAGGAGATAAAGCATGCTCCCTCTCCTCCAGCTTCCCATCATTTTATCACATCAGGTATGAATACCTGTAGCTTCACTGCCTTACCCGACACCGTAAAATTCAAGCACAAGTATTTGCTTAATTAACCTTGCTGGGTAAAGGGGAGTGGGGGGAAGAGGCTCCACACTGTTTCTCCAGAAATTATTCAAAGCACAGGATATGGACTCACCTGTTCTCCATATTCAATCCACTGGCCTTGGTTGTTCTTCCAATACCAAATCCACTGTGTAGTCAATACAAATGAGGGCTTTGTGACTGATGATGGTGTAGAGAGCCGTCGAACTGAAGAAGAATGGCAGGTCATTGTCTGGAAATTAATGTTCTTACCTGCCATGCTGTAAGGACAAATTCAGGTTTATTATATTTAACAGTATATATTTTATCCTCCAATCCCCAGTTTAAGATGGTGCAATTTTCTTTAATATAATGCGACTGCCTGAAGTTAATTAGGCCTGAAATAAGAGTATTTCCCACAGGATGCATGGCAGCTCTGAAAACTGCTTCCAAACGTCAGAAGCACACTACAGCCTGCGAGACACTGAGTGCCTTCTCAATCGCTAGCCAGACGTTGCACTGCCAGCTTTACAGACGGTCTGGGCCTACATGCACAACGGGGCAAAAGGTATTTCTGCAATAAATAAGCCTGGTTACAGTTTTTCTTGGTACAAAAATAGAAATTGGTAAGTACACAACTGAGTTTTCCAGCAAACACGTGCAGCTTATCAACTTTGTTCTTTTTCTGTTGTTACCGAGGTTGCAATCACAGCTGTGAGCTCCGAAAACAGCATTCAGCACTGGAGCCACTTGGGCTTTTACACGCGAGAGGCTCGGAAAAATTAACTCTCAGGCAGAAAGGCTTCAAAAGCAGCCTCCTGTTCAGAATCTTGCTTGTGATCTGCACCATCCAGCTGCCTAGTCAAGCTGCAAATCAAAATCACCTGCTGTCTGAAGAGGCATAGGCCAAAATGATTACACCGTTTTACTGAGGTCAAATTTGGGGTTCCCTATGAATCCAAGTGGCTTACAGTGGAGCTTTTGGAAAGGACCTAAAGTGAAAATGTACTCTTTTAAAGAAAAAAAAAACCAAACCATAGGCTGCTTACACAAAAGGTCGTAAGATTCCTCTAGGCAGATTATTGATATTATTATAAATGCTAGCTGTATTAGGAAAGGAACAGCCATAGAGAAGGACCCAACGTAATTATGAGAAATAAATTCTGATTCATTACCTGAAATACTAATATTTGAAGCACTAAATTCCACCCACTTCTTTTTACCCTGTATAAAGTTTTAAATGCAAGATATTGTTGTGTTATTTTTAGAAGACAAAACCGGGGTGATTTACTTTTAAAATTTTCCTTTGTACATCCTCTCAGATTCTGAGAAGCTCAGTAATCACAAGTTAAGGAAGTCAGATATCTTTAGGAAGAAATCAAGAGTTTTTCTTCAGTAGCTCAAGCACAGTACTCCAACCAAGCAGTCCAGCATCATTATACCTGCTGATTTTTGGGTCACAATAGGCCTCTTCAATTTCCTCCATCATGGAAAGGTCATTCCAGGTGATTCCATTATATATCTGCCATCGATATGGCAAATAGTAATGAATGAATCTGCATTTATCTGTAATGAGATCATAGTCAAGAGCTCTGCAATCATAAGACAGTGTGTAAGACAAGGCTGGGGGGGGGGGAAATAAAAAAAAAAAAAAAGGGAACAAACGTTTTTTACATGCTGGCTTTATCTCCCAGGCTTTGGTATGAGCAATAGAGACAGTGCTGAAAACAGAAATATGTTTGAACAAGAGGGGTGTGTGTTTCTCCAGCCTAACCTAGCAAAGCAACATAAGGTCTCACGCTGCCCAACAGATTTCAAAGAAACGACGACCTTCCCTTTGCTGAGACACAACACTGGCAGCTGGGAGAGCAGTGCCACCGATAGGAAGCCTGAGACAACGGGTCACACTGCCATGTTTCGCAGCTGTGGAAAGTCTAGTCTACAGATGACGTAAGCACTCCCACATATTTGGTTCTCTCTGTCCCTTAATGCTTATGAGGTGGTTATCAAGGCCTGACTGGTTTTTTTTTAGGCCCAGCCCAACAGATGTGGCAGCATAAAGGACTGTAATACTCCAAAGAACATGCCCCGGGTGGGACCCTACGCTCACCCCTGAACAGTCAGCACACACTGCCCTGCTAACAAGCCTTCTAGGCACTGTTGGAATTGTTGCTTTGCTTTTCAGAAAATGGGAAGCAGCAACTTTAAACTGACTTGCATGCAAGACCTGCAGCAGTTCTATATACACCTTTCACACAGGAGGAGGAGAACTTGGTTTAATTCACCTGTGTTTTCAACGCATGTATGCCTGCAGGTTTGAGTTCACCCCTGCATGTGTGCATGCTGCTGGATACGTGCAGAGCCTGACCTCCAGGCCTCCCTGCTGGGGGAAGCTGAGGTATGCTCCACACCTCAGTTTGGACCAAACCTCTTCTTTACAACTTTTGAGCCAAACGTGGCATGGCAAAGCCGCACTAACCCTCCAACTGTTCTCTGACTTTAGCTATTGTGGTTACAGTATAGCTGCTTTGAGCCTGACCTGCAGAGCAAGCACATGAGCACACCACACACATTATGCAGGTCCAAAAGTTCATAAACTTAAGCCTCCAGCCTGGTCCTAAAGAAGCAGAGGATCTGAGAAATGTGATACAAGGCTGGAGTAGCTGCTGCTCAGACAGAGCCAAAAGGATTTTCAGCATTCCTTACCCCTGATGTGTCTGACCACAGAACATAGGACAGCTAACTCCAGTTATGAAGGCGACAGTGTCTTTCACTCTTTTCTTCCTTCTTTCTGTTAACAGGACCTGTCTTGAAAGCACTGTGCTTAAATTAACTTGAAAAGCTGTAGACAAAACCACACGTGGTCTCTCTTGGCCATATTTCATTTCTGCCATCCGTAAAATAGTTTATTCTTTCAAGTATTGTCTCTTCAAAGTAATGGTTAAGAAGAGGTATTATCAAGCCCTGAAGTAACTTACCTGCCTCTCAGAAAAGGAGCTTCTGATGGGAGAACTGCACCTCTACCAGAACACAAACCCACTACAGACATGCTACATACACACAATCTCAGAACAAAGTTACGGGGCAATTTGTTGTCCATGTCCTAAGTGAAAGCAAACACAGTCTGATCTAGTTTAAGTGGATCTTTCGCCAAGACCAGGAGGTCAGAAAAGGAGTAGTCCTTTAGAAAGTGACTGGACAAGTTCTCTGGAAGAAAATCTCATGGTACCACCTCATAATAAAAGAAGAGCCTAACCTGGGGGTTAGGAGACTGTGAAGGGACATCCCCCAAGTACAAATGCTTATAATTATGTTTTCCCTCAGGCCTCGGTTATTGGCCACTGCCAGACAGACGATGGATTAGATTTCTCTTTAGCTTAGCTGGTACAACTTCTGTGTTTTATTGTAACACCTCAGATCACTTTTTAAAGGACTTAATGGGGGAGAATATGGCTATTTTGATGTTGCCAATGATGACAGCATAATGCCTCTCTTAAATTGGTCTACTAGTTACAGAAAGTGTAACATTTAACACTTCAAGGGATTTTGCCACAGAAACATACCCAAAGCATGCCCCCATCAACAAGACCGAAATAGGCCATAGACATAGGGTAACAGGTTTAAATTGGAAGTGGGGAGGTTTAGATTAGATATCAGGAAGAAGTTCTTCCCAGAGAGGGTGGGGAGGCACTGGGACAGGTTGCCCAGAGAAGCTGTGGATGCCCCATCCCTGGAAGTGTCCAAGGCCAGGCTGGATGAGGCTTGGAGCAACCTGGTCTAGGGGAAGGCATCCCTGCCCATGGCAGGGGGGTTGGAACTAGATGGTATTTAAGGTCTCTTCCAACCCAAACCATCCTGTGATTCTGATTCTATGTACCCACTTGACTTTCTTCTGATTATGTTTGTAACTTGGAAGCAAAGCGAATGGGTGAGAAGGCACAATCGCCACTGCCGCTCCATAGGCCGTCACCAGTACGAGCCATTGGGTGGGCAGTGCCTCTGCAGATGCTGCTCCCTGAAAAAAACATTCCTTTTTATAAAGCTTACCTTTATGTTTGCAGTACTTCCAGACGTAGAACACACATATCTCATCACACTTATCTTCTTTTTTGTCTTTCAAAGCTTTAGCAGAGAGATCATCTTTTTTAGCTGGAGAAAAGAACAGTGTGTTATCTGCCCTACCAAAATGCACCTCTAAAGAGAAGGAGGCTGCATTTGGTATTTCATCTCAGAAGTAACACGGAGATGACTGCCAAGTAGCCAAGTCAAGCACTTTCAGGATCTGACTATCCCCCATACAGCCCACTGCACAAACCAGGGCTCTGTGACTGACCAATAAACCCCCACAGTGACAAAGGCTCAGTGGAGATGGGCAAGGGCGATGTCACGAAGCCCAGAGTAATGCAGGAGGTGACTGACCACCTCTGTGGCAAAGCAGCTTTGTCTCAACACAAAGGGGAGCAGAGGGTGATGTCTTTGTTGAGGATAAATGGCTGTGTCAGCTGAGTGGATCAGATCGGCACATGGGGAGTGAATACAGGGCTCAGACCAACACAGGAGTATAAAAACTAAATGACTAACAGCAGAATTTCAAAGAGAGCAACAGGCTTGAGCTGGCTTCAATCCACATACTGCTTCCCAGGGACTGGGGAAACCAAGTCTCGTGATGGTGAGCATATTATACAGACCGGTAGTGGGAATCACACTGGTATTGTGATTGAACTGTATACTGCAAGAGCTGTATTTGAGGAGGTGTAACTTAACACCTGTATTTTGTTTTCAGTGTATCTTGCATCACGCTGCTACATCAGATAGCTCATTGTACTGGGCCTGGCTAGGATAGAGTTAATTTTCTTCATAGCAGCTCATATGATGCTGTGTTTTAGATTTTTGACCAAAACAATGCTGATAACATGCCCATGCCCTAACTTTTGCTGAACACTGCACAGGCCTCTCTGTTTCTCAACCCTCCCCTGAAGTGAACAGACTGGGGGGTGCACAGTAGCTTGGGAGGGGACACAACTGGGCAGAGGACCCAAATTAACTGAAGAAACATTCCATATCATACAACATTAAGTCCAGCAATAAATGGGGAAAGGAGGAGTTTTAGGATAGCGAGCTGTCTTTTGCTCAGGAACCGTCTGGGCATCAACTTATCCACGGGAGGCGGCGAGTGACTGCCTTTGCATCACTTGTTTTCCTTTCTTTTCTTCTTTCTTCCTTCCCCACTCCCACCCCCCAACACTATCCTGGTTCTGGCTGGGATAGAGTTAATTTTCCTCCAAGTAGCTGTGCTTTGGATTTAGCATGAGAATGATGTGATAACACACTGATGACTTGGTTGTTGCTAAGCGGTGTTTATACTAACTCAAGAACTTTCCCGCTGCCCACGCTCTGCCAGCAAGGAGATGCACATGAAACTGGGAGGGGGGACAGCTGACCCCAACTAGCCAAAGGGACATTCCATACCATATCATGTCATGCTTACTACAGAAACTAGTCTCTGGTGGGGGGGAGCAGAGACTGCAGCTCAGGAACTGGCTGGGCACCAGTCAGCAAGTAGTGATCAATTGTATTGTGCACTGCATGTTTTGTATATTTTTAGTTGTTGCTGTTGTTACCATTATTATTTTCTCTTCCCTTGCTGTTCTATTAAACTGCATTGAACCTGACTCACAAGTTTCAATTTCTTTTCTGATTCTTCCCCCCTCATCCTCATAGCCAAGCTTAGGAA